ACACAGATGGTCTTATAGGTCTATTGTATGTACTCACATCCAACACGGATGGTCTTATAGGTCTATTGTATGTACTCACATCCAACACGGATGGTCTTATAGGTGAAGTCTATTGTATGTACTCACATCCAACACGGATGGTCTTATAGGTCTATTGTATGTACTCACATCCAACACGGATGGTCTTATAGGTCTATTGTATGTACTCACATCCAATACGGATGGTCTTATAGGTCTATTGTATGTACTCACATCCAACACGGATGGTCTTATAGGTGTAGTCTATTGTATGTACTCACATCCAACACGGATGGTCTTATAGGTGAGGTCTATTGTATGTACTCACATCCAACACGGATGGTCTTATAGACTCTTGAACGTGCATACACAGATCAATATCGGGAACTGTCTCACACAGGCTGTGCGGGGGGGGGGGGGGGGGGGGGTGTCACCACCGTCGTGGAGAAATGTAAAAATAATGTGTGAAAAATGCTAAAAGACAAGATAATCGTCGTAAGGTGCCCTTCCCTTTAAGTGCCGTCAATTTTTTTCTCTGAAATGTGGAGTTGCTGAACTCCTGTATGTGCTGTGACTCTTTGACCCCAAAGATACATGTCACGTTGCTGATGTTTGTGATAGCTAATGTGACGTTGCTGATGTTTGTGATAGCTAAATGTGCGGTTGATTATGTTTATGATAGCTAAATGTGACGTTGCTGATGTTTGTGATAGCTACATGTGACGTTGCTAATTTTTGTGATAGTTAAATTGTGATGTTGCTGATGTTTGTGATACATAAATATGATGTTGCTGATGTTTGTGATAGCTAAATGTGCGGTTGATTATATTTATGATAGCTAAATGTGATGTTGCTGATGTTTGTGATAGATAAATGTGACGTTGCTGATATTTGTGATACATAAATGTGACGTAAGCCACATAAGAAAGAAATGACAGCTAATTAATTCAGTATAATCAGAGCTTCGGCACCAATTTCACTAATTGGAGAATTAGGGTTTTTATGGACTAATTAATAAAGAAAAGCAAATTAGACTTCCCCGATAGAGATAGAAAAATCTCAGTGTAAATGAAAATTAATAATTGCATGCCAAGAATCGGGCTATTTTATACACTAAGTTTGCAATTAACTAAGTAGAATAATTACGTTTTAAGTAGCTAATTATTGACCTCAAACGATATCGACTTACCAGATGAAGAAAAATCTGATAAATCCGTCCGCAATTAAAACACAAATCGACAGAATAAAGAGATTCCAATGATAATATATTAAAATATCAGAATGGTTTGATTCTCAAGATATTGTAACACTGAAATATCCCTAGAATGGAGAGGTTCCAATATTCTACTCACACTGAAATATCCCCAGAATGATCAGGCTCCAAATAATCTATTCGCAATTAAATATCACCAGAATAAATAGGCACTCAATATTGTACTCACACTAAAACATCCCCAGAATAGGCAGGCTCCCAATATTCTACTCACACTAAAGCTCCTAATATTCTACTCACACTAAAGCTCCTAATATTCTACTCACACCAAAATATCCCCAGAGTGATCAGGCTCCTAATATTCTACTCACACTAAGGCTCCAATATTGTACTCACACTAAAGCTTCGATATTCTACTCACACTAACATATCCCCAGAATAAACAGGCTCCCAATATTATACTCACACTAAGGCTCCCAATATTATACTCACACTAAGGCTCCCAATATTCTACTCACACTAAGGCCCCCAATATTCTACTCACACTAAAATATCCCAAGATTGGAAAGGCTCCCCACAGTGTACTCACACTAAGGCTCAGTGATGGCTCCTCTCGCACACACGCGCGTCTGTTAAGCCTCCCCAGGGTAGGGTGTGTGTAGTGGCACCGTGTCTAGAGAAATCCGCCCTCGCACCGCTGTCACATGGGAACCCTGGCATGCACGGAATCAAATCAGGGACACACTGTCAAGAAAGTGGGGGGAGGGGGGGGGGGTGTCAATGGGAGGAGTGTTAATAGACGTACATACCATTAGTGAAACATTTAAAAAAGGTAGTGAAAATAAAAAGTAGTATCGTTCAATTATTTTTTTTTAATCCCTTTAATAAATGTCCTTTTTTTAGTATTTTTTTTAGAAACCTGTGTTGTAATGTACGGAAACACATTTGCCCACTGTTCATAATTTGATGTTACAAATTTATTATTCTTGCGATGTTCGAGTTTTATATCTAGCAGTAATGATTTATTGCAGCTTTAAGTTGCAAGGTTTTATAATTGAGGACTGTGTTTTTTGTGGGTTAAAATAAGTAGCCCCGTGTATTCACATTTTTATTTCGAAATCATTGGGCTTGGTTGAATTTTTAGATTTGTTAAATCCAGTTTTTGTGCGATAGTGTTCACAGCACAATGGAATATTAAAGAAGACGCATCTCACTTTGGATGAAGACAATTCGTTTTATAATCGTCAATATGAGCATAAACTGACATGTAGGTGAAGTAGAGCTCACCTCCTGTTTCCGTAAAATCGGAACATAAAGCGATAGTGTCTTCAACTCGATGCCCGGTCTCATTCCCTTTCGCTAACATGAGCCAGGTACAAATTAGAGCTGAGTGGACTCAGGGACTGACCCGACACCGACATAAGTTAGAATAATTGTGATTAGTGTTTTATTTCACTTACGGAAAATATAGAACTTTGGGGTCGTCCATAATCACACTCCTGGGAGTTTGGGAGGGGGGGGGGGGGTCGGGATTGCATGTCTAAGTGTGTACAGGGAGAGCGGGGGTTCAAAAAGTGTGACGTTACACTTTAACAATTGATGTAATTATTGTATTGCTAGAAACTAAAATTCGGCCGGCCGTTAGTTTGCGATTTTAAAAGCTGATTTTGCAAATTGTAGTAGAAATTAATTACTATACTAAATATTGACAGAGTTATGACAATTAAGAAAAACAAAATTTCCAGAAAGGAGTCGATGTTTTTTAAAAATGAAATAATTTCACTTGAGGAGATGAAATGATAGTTTGAGACAGAGGCGTAGCGACCCTTCCCGGCGCTCGGGGACAAACTTTTTGATTTGCACCCCCCCCCCCTTCAAACTTTCGATTTGCACACCCCCCTCGAGATTTCCATTTGCACCCCCCCTCACTCAAACTTTCGATTTTCACCCCCCCCCCCTCAACCTTTCAATTTATTTTTCCAACCCATTTTGGCGCCCCCTAAGGTCGGCGCCCGGGGACATATGCCCCCCCCCCCCCTCGCTACGCAACTGGGTTGAGATAAGATGTTATTTTTGCGTGTGACTTTTAGTGACAGTGTGTTGCAATGGGAAGGGGAGAGGGAACATGTCAACAATAGCGTAATTTCTATTAGGGAATACCAATTTTGTGAAAAGTGCCGATGAATATTAGTGTAAGGTGTGTTTACTAAATCCTTTTTGAAAATATCGTAAAACGGTCTCCCATACAAACGAGGAAGAAAATCCCCCTTGTGTGTTAGATGCAGTCGCCTATCGATCCTTCTCGATGCCGTTGTGAGGGCTTTCATAGTCGCACTCAATTCCTCGCGGCCTCCCCCCCCCCCCTCCCCCCTCTTGTGACAAAATCGATAGGACTCGATAATTGCCTGGGACAGTCGCTTTAGGTCGGTCAAGTTTTTAAATCTGGTTCTCTGGGGAGAATTAGGGCTTAGCTCAAAAGAGGGGAGGGGGGGGGGGTGAATTTAACAGGGTCACCTACATTTTTAACACCTTTTATTTCTTTAATTATATAATTTTTTTTAAAATTGGAAGAGTTAATTAAATTTAGCCGAACACACTGAAATAATTGGAGGTTAATGAACAAAAATGACAAATATAATGACGTTCCCGAAAGTTAATGAACAAAATATGCCCAATACACTGAAATATTTGGAATCTTACAATCGGAAATACCCTTACTAAACCCACCCCCTTCCCTCCACCTACCTCCACCCCATTTCTCTTTACGATCTGTTAAAAAGAATATGTTATGTTCTTACAAACCTGATCCGAAATGTAATTATGCATTAATTAAATACATATCCATATCTTCTATTTCGGCGCTAATCAACACAATCTATTATTACCCACCGTACCATATCTTTTAAACTATTGACTAAGCATACAAACAAAACAACTAATAAATTAATTTAAAAAAGAAAAAGTTATAGCCTGCTATTGTTGCCTAAGTAAAAAAAAAAGTTTATTTGGTGTATTATGTAGGCCTACTATGCAACTCTTGTGTATATTGCACATTATACTTCATTTTACTTGATATTAAACACACACACACACACACACACACAAATACACACGTTCTCACAGAGTCACACTGCCTCCATTTAAACCCTAACTGCCTACATTATAACCCTCACTGCCTACATTCCTCACTGTCTATATTTAAACCATAAAAGCCTACATTTTAACCACCACTGTCTACTTTTAACCCTCACTGCCTACATTTTAACTATAGAAGTGTTGTACTCAGGAGGTGTGGGGGTGTAGAGGTGTTGAATCGAGGGAGATGGTGCCTGTATGATCACACATTTCAAGAACGACAATCCGAGTTTATAATTTTAAATTAGCATAGCACATTGTTTCCCCTTAGTTTGATTTCGCTTGATACATATTATTGGACAGGATAGCTTGGATATAATTAGACAGACCCGAAATTTCAATTAGGAATTTTTTTGTTTGGACTAATCTTAGTGATTGCTAAGGTTAATCCCTAAAGAGTTTGTTATCCTCGATAAGTATATCAGCACTATTCATGCAAAATCTCGATATATAGACATTGAAATCTTTCTTCATACCAACTACAAGAAAATATCTCGAAGTTAAATTGCCGTTTTATTAAAACCATCAAAATCAGTCATATTTTCTTCAAGTTATATTTTATTTCGTTAAAACGATTCTTTGTTTTTTAAATCTTAGAATCATTATGGTAAATCAAAAACGCGGAATTCAGAAAGAACAAGCAGACGAAAGATGAAGACGTCTTACGTTTTTATTTTTCTAGTGTTATTTCCGGTGGTGTTGATGAAGATGCGTCGGTCTAGGTCTAGCGGGAATGGTGAGATGATCATGATACACGGCCTTAGCTTGGCTGATGATCTACAAGTATCTTACTAGGCTAAATTACTACAACATTTAGTTTTAATGTTTGTAGATCATGAATCAATATTTTTCTTAACAGACCTTTAACCGGAAATAGATACTAATATTTTATTACCCAAAATATCTAAACACAAGATTTTAAATTTAATTTCAGTATTTTAGCGCATCTATTCAGCATTCGTTAACTGCCTACCTCCAACCCCACCCCACCCCAAAATTAAAAAAAAAACAACTTTGACCCTTGCTGTCATACATATTGTATCCCCCTGTTAACCCTTGCCGTCATACATATTGTATCCCCCTGTTAACCCTTGCTGTCATACATATTGTATCACCCTGTTAACCCTTGCTGTCAAACATATTGTATCCCCCTGTTAACCCTTTGTCTCTCGTCTGCTACAGGCTGCTCCTGGTACATATCCCACAAGTTCCAGGGCAGGTGTTACGCGTTTTTTCAAGGTGAACTACCATGGCAGGAAGCTCAGGTAAACCTGCTGGCAAAGACCGTCTTACACGTTCTGTCATCGATCTATCGTCATACACGTTCTGTCATCGACTCTACCGTCATACACGTTCTGTCATCGACTCTACCGTCATCGTCTGCTATCTACATTATCATCAACACATTAACAGTTTCATTCCAATTAACATCTGCATATATATATATATATATATATATATATATATATATATATATATATATATATATATATGTATATATATATATATATATATATATATATATATATTGTATGTTCTAGAAAACTTGTCAGACTTTAACATCGAGAGGGACATTGCCCGTCTATCTAAACAATTCGACCATTCACTGGCTTCGTGAAGAAACTTTTCGACTGTTCAAAGATTACAGTAAGTGTTGTGTAAAGTCGACTATTTAAAGATTAACTGTTGTGTAAAGTCGACTATTCAATGATTAAGTGTTGCGTAAAGTCGACTATTCAAAGATTATAGTAAGTGTTGTGTAAAGTCGACTATTTAAAGATTGAGTGTTGTGTAAAGTTGACTATTCAATGATTAAGTGTTGTGTAAAGTCGACTATTCAAAGATTATAGTAAGTGTTGTGTAAAGTCGTCTGTTCAAAGATTACAGTAAGTGTTGTGTAGAGTCGTCTGTTCAAAGATTACAGTAAGTGTTGTGTAAAGTCAACTATTTAAAGATTAAGTGTTGTGTAAAGTCGACTATTTAAAGATTAAGTGTTGTGTAAAGTCGACTATTCAAAAATTACAGTAAGTGTTGTGTAAAGTCGTCTGTTCAAAGATTACAGTAAGTGTTGTGTAAAGTCGTCTGTTCAAAGATTATAGGAAGTGTTGTGTAAAGTTGTCTGTTCAAAGATTACAGTAAGTGTTGTGTAAAGTCGTCTATTCAAAGATTACGTGTTGTGCAAAGTCGTCTGTTTAAAGATTAAAGTAACTGTTGTGTAAAGTCTACTATTCATAGATTAAGTGTTGTGTGAGGTCTACTATTCAAAGATTAAGTGTTGTGTAAAGTCGTCTATTCAAAGATTACAGTAAGTGTTGTGTAAAGTCGACTATTTAAAGATTTAGTGTTGTGTAAAGTCGACTATTCAAAGATTACAGTAAGTGTTGTGTAAAGTCGTCTGTTCAAAGATTACAATAAGTGTTGTGTAAAGTCGACTATTCAAAGATTACAGTAAGTGTTGTGTAAAGTCGTCTGTTCAAAGATTACAGTAAGTGTTGTGTAAAGTCGACTATTCAAAGATTACAATAAGTGTTGTGTAAAGTCGTCTGTTCAAAGATTACAGTAAGTGTTGTGTAAAGTCGTCTATTCAAAGATTACAGTAAGTGTTGTGTAAAGTCGACTATTTAAAGATTTAGTGTTGTGTAAAGTCGACTATTCAAAGATTACAGTAAGTGTTGTGTAAAGTCGTCTGTTCAAAGATTACAATAAGTGTTGTGTAAAGTCGACTATTCAAAGATTACAGTAAGTGTTGTGTAAAGTCGTCTGTTCAAAGATTACAGTAAGTGTTGTGTAAAGTCGACTATTCAAAGATTACAATAAGTGTTGTGTAAAGTCGTCTGTTCAAAGATTACAGTAAGTGTTGTGTAAAGTCGTCTGTTCAAAGATTACAATAAGTGTTGTGTAAAGTCGACTATTCAAAGATTACAGTAAGTGTTGTGTAAAGTCGTCTGTTCAAAGATTACAGTAAGTGTTGTGTAAAGTCGACTATTCAAAGATTACAATAAGTGTTGAGTAAAGTCGTCTGTTCAAAGATTACAGTAAGTGTTGTGTAAAGTCGTCTGTTCAAAGATTACAATAAGTGTTGTGTAAAGTCGACTATTCAAAGATTACAGTAAGTGTTGTGTAAAGTCGTCTGTTCAAAGATTACAATAAGTGCTAAGTCGTATTTAACATCACACTACTCAGCTGCTGCTATACATGTTTTATAGACATATTAAGCGTTACAATTATGTTTAGCCCTACAATCCGTTCTCAAAGTATATGTGTTTTACATTCATATTCTTAACATAACTGTAAAGTCATTTAGCACATCCCTTGCTAAGATAGTTAGCACATAACATAAAATAAATTAGCGCATCACATATAAAGTCCTTTAGCAGATCTAGTCTAAATTCAATTAACACATTGAGTGTAAAGTCATTTTGCACATTGAATCTTAAGTTGTTTAGCACATTGAGTGTTAAGTTATTTAGCACATCTAGTGTGAAGCAATTTAGCAATTCAAGTGTTACAGTCAGCATATCATAAATAAAGTTGTTTAGCTCAAAGTTAAGTCATTTAGCACATCCCATGTGAAATAATTTATTAGATCTAGTATTAGTAGTATCTAGTGACAAGCACTTAAGCACATCAAGTATAATGTCATTTAGCAAATCTAGTATAAAGTCATTTATCACATCAAGTATAAAGTCATTTATCACATCAAATTTAAAGTCATTTAGCAAATCTAGTATAAAGTCATTTAGCAAATCTAGTATAAAGTCATTTATCACATCAAGTATAAAGTCATTTAGCAAATCTAGTATAAAGTCATTTATCACCTCAAGTATAAAGTCATTTAGCAAATCTAGTATAAAGTCATTTATCACATCAAATATAAAGTCATTAACTGACGTGTCCTATCCCAGGAGAAATCTGGGTCGGGGCCAACGACCTTCAAGAGAAAGGTGTTCTCCGCTGGACTGACGGGTCACTGGCACACGTGATGGAGTTCTTCGACGTCAAGAATCTTCAGCCGGACAACCTGGGGGGCAACGAGCGCTGCGTCAACATCGGCCGGCAGGACCCGTACCTCAGCGACGCGGACTGCGTCAGCAAGTTCAACTACGTCTGTCAGGAGCCCGGTATGTGTACGTCAGTCTGTATGTTTGTCTGTCTGTATGTTTGTCTGTCTGTCTGTCAGTCAGTCTGTCTGTCTGTCTGTCTGTCTGTCTGTCTGTCTGTCAGTCTGTCAGTCTGTCAACATCGGCCGGCAGGACCCGCACCTCACTGACGCAGACTGTGGCAGCAAGTTCAACTATGTCTGTCAGGAGCCCGGTATGTGTACGTCTGTCTGTCTGTCTGTCTGTCTGTCTGTCTGTCTGTCAGTCTGTCTGTCTGTCTGTCTGTCTGTCTGTCTGTCTGTCTGTCTGTCTGTCTGTCTGTCTGTCTGTCTGTCTGTCTGTCTGTCCGTCTGTCTGTCTGTCCGTCAGTCTGTCAACATCGGCCGGCAGGATCCGTACCTCAGTGACGCGGACTGCGTCAGCAAGTTCAACTACGTCTGTCAGGAGCCCGGTATGTGTACGTCAGTCTGTATGTTTGTCTGTCTGTATGTTTGTCTGTCTGTCTGTCTGTCTGTCCGTCTGTCTGTCTGTCTGTCTGTCTTTCTGTCTGTCTGTCTGTCTGTCTGTCTGTCTGTCTGTCTGTCTGTCTGTCTGTCCGTCTGTCTGTCTGTCCGTCAGTCTGTCAACATCGGCCGGCAGGATCCGTACCTCAGTGACGCGGACTGCGTCAGCAAGTTCAACTACGTCTGTCAGGAGCCCGGTATGTGTACGTCAGTCTGTATGTTTGTCTGTCTGTATGTTTGTCTGTCTGTCTGTCTGTCTGTCCGTCTGTCTGTCTGTCCGTCAGTCTGTCAACATCGGCCTGCAGGATCCGTACCTCAGTGACGCGGACTGCGTCAGCAAGTTCAACTACGTCTGTCAGGAGCCCGGGGGTACCATATATGTGTTGATTGGGGGTGGGGGTAGGTAATCTTGGGGTGGGGGGTAATATACATGTGGTGATTAATCTGGCGGAGGGGGGGGGGGTTATCTCGGGGAGGGGTAATGACGGAGAGAAAGGGCGAGTGGGAGGGATTGACGGCGGGGAGGGGGAAGGGGATGAGTGAGTAACGTTCTGCTCCAGTGCTCTATACTTCATCACACTCTATGTATCCATCTGATGGATCTCTATATACCAGTATAGTCTATATAACGCCTGTTATTATATGACATATTCATATATATATATATATATATATATATATATATATATATATATATATATATATATATATATATATATATATATATATATATATATAATATGTAACAGCACTGTTTAACATTGGTTCTTTTTCAGGCTAAATATCTCCAACAGTTTACATAGTACAATTAAATATGTTGCGCTTACTTCATTAAAATAAACTGTATATCCTGATCAAACTGTGTTATTTTGGACTAATTTCGTTTAAAAAGCTATCTGTTGTTTGAAGTTAATGGTTGAAAAAAGTCATCGGTGTCTTCATACCAGATGTTATATATATATATATATATATATATATATATATATATATATATATATATATATATATATATATATATATATATATATATATATCAATGTCGCTTACATGAATTTTAATTTCTAATTTAGTATTATATTTATTCTCGTTTTCTCTTAATTAAACATCTTGAAAAAGTGTCGGTTAATCAGGACATTGATTGTAAATAAAACAAAATCGGTGCCTTAGAAGTGGATCAAAATTTAAGAGGCGAGATTTGAGAAGCAAACAAACAGGCATTGTCATCTAAATAAAAGGTAGTTTTAGTAAAAACAGAATTATACGGTACATAAAACTTTAGTTGTCAGGCTCAATTGGTTTAAAATGTATAGACTCTATCACTAGCTATATACATCCCGTTAGATACATGGTTAAGTAAGTTACCTGAACTAATTTTAAAGAAATGTATTGTAGCTATTCAGACAAACATATCTTTAAGTAATGTAACGATATTAAATGTGGTGACGAAAAGGACACACCTTCGAATACCCTAAATTATTTCCCACTCCAAGCAGATAACAGAGACAAAAAGCAGAGAAGAGGGTAAGAGTGACAATAGGCAGAAAACGTCCACAGCTTTTCTTTACTGTTATGTAAATAAAGGTGCATTACTATATAAACACATTAATTTATTTTCTTCTTTTTAGCCACTTAAACGGGTCATTAGATAAATATTTTCAGCAATATAGAAAATAGAATTATCCTGCAATGGCCTTTTATTCTAAAGAGAGAGAGCAACCATTCAGTGTCATGGATTTATTGGTTCTCGGACTCAGCTACTGTACCACGTGACACCAACCCTAGTGACGTCACGGCTTAATCTCATCTTAATTATGCTAATCCCACAATCAGCTTACATGTTCAACTTTGACATCACATGTAATTGGAAGCTTACACAATCAATATTAAAGTTAACCTGAAAAAAATCTAAAATGTTCTACAAATAAGAAAATCAGTGGAGTCAAATTATACCGTGACCTTAATCTACCAATGGTTGATCTGTCACCTGCGCTCAGAATTTCAACGTGCTATTTTTTCTGGCAAGTCACGTGATTAGTGACGTGGTGACTGACGTGCAGTGACCAAGATGGCGACTGTGTGTTTACTTCTTCTTCTGATGTTTTTCCAAACAGCGCTCATGCGAAGAGGTATGAAATTTCAATCACTATTTCTACAATCTCCGGCGAATCTTTACTTTGTGTTGCAGATATTGCGATACGTTAGTCAAACCCAAAAAAAGGCGCATATAAAAATCAATTATACTAATACACAGAGTTTCTTCCAGGCATCTCTTCGGGGGGGGGGGGGGGCTTTGCCCCCCCGAAATATTTTTACCGCCCCCCCCCCGAACGAAATGAAACTTATATAATTTATATAGAAAATACATACTTTTAGCAGTGTCTGCCCCCCCGAAGAAAGTCTACCGCCCCCCCCCCCCCCCCCGAAAAATTCAAGTGCCCCCCCCGGAGAAAAAAGTCTGGAAGAAACACTGCTAATACACTTTAATTTCGTTATATTTCGTCGATAATATTATATCATTCTACATTGTACATGTGGTCGTTCTTTACTATGGCTATATTTGCTCGAAAATAAAACAAAAATGCCCTTGCGCTATTTTTTCGTGAGAAGTTTTCATTTACGCAATTTTCCGTTGCGCATTTTTTGGTCACCATCTATATCTCACATTTTAACCCTGGCACTAGACTTTGTTTCTTTTTGCTGGGGGCCTTTAGATGAAGTGTTGCATTTTATTTTTACAAGAAGTAATTTTTTGCCTTCCTTTTGCGCATTAATGAAACACTTGTTAGCATAAACTTTTTAATTCTTATTCTTTTATTAAACAAAGAAAAAAAAAGATTTTAGGGATATATGAAATTTATTAGTGGATGATTTCAATCCATGTAGAAACTAAAATTCTTACTTAGAATGAAAGCATTTTATTGCTACACAGAATCTATTCCCTCATTTATATGGATATCTGAACAGTTTCGTCCACACGTAGAAAGTTAGCACACTGTGTTTTTTTACAGGTTGCGATTGGAAAGAATCGATCCAGTATTATCAAGATTGTTTTATATTTTTTGACAAAAAAGTTAACTGGGAAGATGCGGGGGTCAGTATTATTTTGAGTCTTCAAACCTACCTGCATATATATATATATATATATATATATATATATATATATATATATATATATATATATATATATATATATATATAATCATAGTTATCATAAAATGTATTTTCCCACCCTATACTATAATTGGCTAAGGCAGTCTGTCCGTCTTTCGGGAAAGAGTTTAAAGGGGAACAACCACAGAAATTTGAACACAAAGGTCTAAACTACATAAACCGATATAGGAAAATAACCCATTTCTTTAGATTGAAACACTAAAGTTGGGGTTGTCCCTTGTTGTTCTATGCTTATCGCACTACGGACAATGCTGCTTTTATTTCTACTGGCAATGCTGCTAGTATTTCTACTGACAATGCTGCTTGTATTTCTACTGACAATGCTGCTAGTATTTCTACTTGCATTGCTGCTAGTATTTCTACTTGCATTGCTGCTTGTATTTCTACTTGCATTGCTGCTAGTATTTCCACTGGCACTGCTGCTTGTATTTCTACTGACAATGCTGCTTGTATTTCTACTGGCAATGCTGCTAGTATTTCTACTGGCAATGCTGCTAGTATTTCTACTGGCACTGCTGCTAGTATTTCTACTGGCAATGCTGTTAGTATTTCTACTTGCATTGCTGCTAGTATTTCTACTGGCAATGCTGCTAGTATTTCTACTGGCACTGCTGCTAGTATTTCTACTGGCAATGCTGCTAGTATTTCTACTTGCATTGCTGCTAGTATTTCTACTGGCAATGCTGCTAGTATTTCTACTGCCAATGCTGCCAGTAACTTTTGATTACACACACCTGGCGTCCATCCTATTCCAGTTAATCCCCTTTCCAGTTACCCAATTAACTCCCCACCTTAACCTAACCCAGCATAGCTACCATACCATGTTCTGGCTATAGATCAACACCCACCACGAACCAACACCAACAGAAAACGCACCATGTTGAACGATGCTTAAAGTCTTTACTTCCGGTCCATTCTCCAGATCTACTGCGAAAGGTGGTACCGTGGTACTCTGGTGATGGAGGTTGGCCCAAACATGCTTACCTGGTTCCGGGAAAAAGGTTATGAGATCTTCAGGGAATATCGTGAGTCTTCTTTCGATTGAAATAATAAACAGTTCCGTTTGAAGTAAATAACATGAGTTTTTAATACGAATAGCGCGTTCTCATAATAATCCTGAGATGGGTTTAGGATAGGTTAGGTTAGCTTTGGTTTGGAACCAATATGTCTTGATTATAAAAAATATCACTGGTGTAAATTAGAGCTTATTTACACTTTTTGTTTAGACAACGTGTTAGTTAAAGTTTGGTCAGGTATGATATATAAACGCAATCCCTAAAATTAGGGGCAAATTAACTAGGTTTGGTGTTAGGCTACCTTAAGGGCGTTACTTTAAGTTTTAGCAGATTTGAGAGATACTTGTAATTGAATGTAGGGGTTAACACTTTAGGCATGTAGGCGGTAGTAAGGTTAGATCTGATGGGTTACCTGACTTAGTGACTTAGTGTAGGGGTTAACACTTTAGGCATGTAGGCGGTAGTAAGGTTAGATCTGATGGGTTACCTGACTTAGTGACTTAGTGTAGGGGTTAACACTTTAGGCATGTAGGCGGTAGTAAGGTTAGATCTGATGGGTTAACTGACTTAGTGTAGGGGTTAACACTTTAGGCATGTAGACGGTAGTAAGGTTAGATCTGATGGGTTACCTGACTTAGTGTAGGGGTTAACACTTTAGGCATGTAGGCGGTAGTAAGGTTAGATCTGATGGGTTAACTGACTTAGTGTAGGGGTTAACACTTTAGGCATGTAGACGGTAGTAAGGTTAGATCTGATGGGTTACCTGACTTAGTGACAGAAGCTGGTCACAGACCTTACCTTGTGCCTTGGTAACAGAATAGTAAAGTACCCTTTCGAACCTGACGGCTCATTCGGCAGGTGGAGTAGAGTTTACCGATCTCAGCGAACTCTGTCAACAGAAACTGGAGAACTCTACTTCATCTGGTCTAAGGATCACCAGCTCCGAAAGGGTTAATTGGTTTTCTCCTATAATAGTTACATCTACGTAGATTAATTACATTACTGTATTCGATGGCAACTCACTGGTCTTGAGGGGTGCACAGCCCACCCTAGAGCAGAGGCGTAGCGAGGGGGGGTGGGGGGTACATATGCCCCCGGGCGCCGACCGTAGGGGGCGCCAAAATGGGTTGGAAAAGAAATTAAAAGCTCATTTTAGCTGCAGTTTTGCATTATAAATATAGAAAAATATATGGGGGGGGGGAGGGGCGCTAAATTGAAAGTTTGTACCTGGGCGCCGGGAAGGGTCGCTACGTCTCTGCTCTTGAGACGTCCCTGTCTATTCTATTCTCCAGGCTACTACTGGATTGGTGCCAAGTACTCCCCAAAATATAAGAGGTGGAGGTACTGTAATAACGTGACAGCCAACCTGACCACGTCTTGGGACAGGGGACAGCCAGACAACTACAAAGGCAATGAGATGTGCGCTCACATCAGGGCACAGAATAAGTTCCTCAACGACGCCAACTGCGAGGAGAAGTTCAACTTTATTTGCCAGGAGAGAAGTAAGCCAAATGTTGCCTTTTCTGTAGGTGTTTGTTGTAAGATTGTTTTCGACTTTATCAACTTTATATGCCAAGAGAGAAGTAAGCCATATATATCATTTTTTTCTGTATTAGTTTGTCGTAAGAGTGTTTGTGACTGTATGAGGCTTAACCAGTAAAAATATATTGCATAAAAATAATGTATAAAAAATGTTATAAAACGAATAGACCTACAATTGAATATTTGGAAAGTGTTTCGGTGAAAGTTCTTCGTGAACCGTCAAGAAAGCAACAATACAGTGACAAATAACAACTATCTTTTGGTCACTTTTTTACAGTGACAAGTAACATCTTTTGGGCACTTTTAGTTGCAGCCAGACATACGTTTACATATTCAATTCCTATATAAAATACAAACAGGGCAATGATTTATGGAAGATTATAATGATTTAATAGCGAACGCCGGTTGCAATGGTAATCCTATTTACTTAAATTAAGTCTAAGAAAATCAAGTCAGTTTAAGAATAGAAATAAAAGCTGTATTCAAAAGGTTGGCGTAAGTTGGGTAGTATTTGTCAGGCGGTGTTCCCGTTTTCTATTCTCCCCCACCCCTCCCCCAAAAAAATAAATAAATAAATAAGTAAATAATATAAATAATAAAACATTACGCATGTTGACTTGTGGGCCTTGGTCACAGATGACCTATACCTCTCTTGACCTCTTGACCACCTGGATCAAAGGGATAGCTGCATTTGGTGTTTGGGTCACTAAGTATAGGCTTTGGGTCGCGACGTTTGGGGTTTGGGTAGCTACCTATAGGGTTTGGGTGACTACTTTTGGGATTCTCACCAAACACACTAAGCCTGGTACGCTACTCAAATGTGTGACGTACTTTGGCTAGAATCGCAAAAGCTAATGTAAATTGTATTGATTTGTTTCAGAGTATTTTCTATTCTACGGCGATTACTAAACGTTTTGCTGAGGATTTTTTTCTTGAAAGACCAGCTGAATAAAGACTTTGCAAACCAACTAAGTTGTGTGGTGTTGTCGTTCTAATTAATTACAGGGAATAAAGAGAAAAAACTGTTTCAGAAATTTGGGGTTATAGTTTAGTTCTAAAACTAGAATATTAGATTTATATTCACAACAACATATTATGCAAACAATAATGGAAAAGAATTTTGGTTCTATTTGTTGGTTTTTGGAACTCGAGTAAAATAAACAGCTTGTGTAAAGAAAAAGGAAAAAGACTTATACCGTGTTTTTTTTTGGGGAGGACGCAAATGTAAGCACTATTTTCTTGTCGTTGTCGTGTTAGGGTCGCATGTAGGCATTAACATAATTTATCTAATGGGACGTGGACAGTGTTTCTTCCAGACTTTTTTCTCCGGGGGGGGGGGGGGCACTTGAAATCTTCGGGGGGGGGGGGGGGCGGTAAACTTTCTTCGGGGGGGCGGACACTGTTAAAAGTATATATTTTCTATATAAAATATATAAATTTCATTTCGTTCGGGGGGGCGGTAAAAATTTTTCGAAGAGATGCCTTGAAGAAACTCTGGACGTGGAAGAGGTACGCCGTCTGGCAATGAATGATGCAGTAAGAAAGGAGGTTGGATGGTTTCTGGCAGAGTGCGACAATGCGAATGGACAGGGGTGTAAAAAGTTCCTAAATTCCGTCAAAGAAGTTACACTAGTTTGAAACATGAGACTGTACAATAATTGAACGTTGTGTTGACCTAGAATCTTTGTTTGAATTGAAATCACTAGAGCATGGCCTCGGTGTGGGCGTTGTTATTCTAGCGCAGTCAGGGATAATCCACATGGTACCTTTAGCACTGCACCATTATACAAGTATCATCAAACAGCTACCATTATACAAGTATCCTCACACAGTTATCATTATACAAATATCATTACACAGATAAAATTATACAAGTATCATTACACAGATACCCTTATACAAGTATCATCACACAGCTACCATTATACAAGTATCATCACACAGTTATCATTATACAAGTATCATCACACAGTTATCATTATACAAGTATCATCACACAGCTACCATTATACAAGTATCATCACACAGTTATCATTATACAAGTATCATCACACAGCTACCATTATACAAGTATCATCACACAGTTATCATTATACAAGTATCATCACACAGTTATCATTATACAAGTATCATCACACAGATACCATTATACAAGTATCATCACACAGCTACCACTATACAAGTATCATCAAACAGCTACCATTATACACGTATCATTACACAGATACCATTATACAAGTATCATCACACAGATACCATTATACAAGTACCATCAAACAGCTACCATTATACACGTATCATTACACAGATACCATTATACAAGTATCATCACACAGCTACCCTTATACAAGTATCATCCAACCGCTACCGTTACAAAATGTCCATTACATAACTATCATAACATTAAAACAGTAGTACTACCATTGCATAACTATACCATTTCGCAACTACCACTACAGAACTACCATTCCATACATTTATACAACTCTCAGTAGATCTTAATGATTATATGGTTACACTTACACACAAAACATTCTAAAATATTCCAAAGCTACCATTACATAACTATTGTTACTCAACTAAATGAAAAAACTCATTACACAACTACTATTAACTACTATTACACATTTATCGTTACTTCAATATCGTTACATAACCACCATTATTATAAGTAGACGTCTTTACACTTAATCACCTACGCCTACTTAGGTTTAACTAGTCAGGTTTAACCATAAAGCGCTAGTCATGTTAAACGCAACATGCGTTAGTTGATAAAAAGTAAGGTTAAACCATAAGCAGGAAGTAGGATTCAACTAGTCAGCTAGTCTGGTTGAACCTAGTCTGGTTAAACCCAGTCTGGTTAAACATAGTCTGGTTAAACCTTCTGGTAAAACCTATCATAGTTAAACCTAGTTAAGTTAAGCCTAGTCAGGTTAAACCTTGTCTGGTTAAACCTTGTCTGGTTAAACCTTGTCTGGTTAAACCTTGTCTGGTTAAACCTAGTTAATTAAGCCTAGTCTGGTTAAACCTAGTTAAGTTAAGCCTAGTCAGGTTAAACCTTGTCTGGTTAAACCTAGTTAAGTTAAGCCTAGTCTGGTTAAACCTAGTTAAGTTAAGCCTAGTCTGGTTAAACCTAGTCTGGTTAAACCTTGTCTATCTAAACCTATCATTGTTAAACCTATCCTAGTTAAACCTAGTCAGGTTAAACCCAGTCTGGTTAAACCTAGTCAGGTTAAAACCAGTCTGGTTAAACCTAATCAGGTTAAACCTTGTCTGGTTAAACCTAGTTAAGTTAAGCCTAGTCTGGTTAAACCTAGTCTGGTTAAACCTTGTCTATCTAAACCTATCATTGTTAAACCTATCCTAGTTAAACCTAGTCAGGTTAAACCCAGTCTGGTTAAACCTAGTCAGGTTAAACCTAGTCTGGTTAAACCTAGTCAGGTTAAACCTTGTCTGGTTAAACCTAGTCTGGTTAAACCTACTTAGCAGGTAGTGCTGACAGTCAAGTTAGCAGTGACGCTGTCTAACAAAACCCAGTGTATTGTTACATGCGGAACTTCCATTCAGTTCGACGACGCAATCGATAAATTTAACCAAGCGTGTCGGATTGATTTGTACACTCAAGTATTAATCTGTCCTGTACATTCTTAACTGGAGGTCAGATTGAACTAAACTAAAGAAAACACACACACACGTAATCGAACATGTTATGGTCTTCGCTTCAAAGGAAAAAAAAAGAAGAAAAAAAAGAACAATTGGCTTTTTCGAACTCTTCAACGAAGCATTTATTGTTTCAAAACGTATTCAACTATAAACATTTTCATTTATCGAACGATACATAAATTTAAAAATGGTTTTTTTATACCTTTGATCTAAAGACGTTATTTTATTTTGTGTTCCTGTGATCAATATCGATTGGTTTATTGATTTCGGATATTCCCAATACAATGTTTCGTCTGGATCATCAGCCACGCGGGTTTGAAAGAAGGAAGGAGAGGGGAGGGGGGATGGCCACGCACTACTAGCCAGCAATGATTAGTTCAATTATTTCATACAGAGCGCGGATGTACGAGTTGTGTTGAAATGTTCTTTGTGATTCCGTTGTTTGGATATTTAGTTAAACGTCGGTGCTTGTTGTGAGTTCTTGTTCGGGAGAAAATGGTGGGAAAATAATGGCTGTTCAGTTTGAAGTACTACACCTCTATGTTATTTTATGTGCGGCGTCGTTGTGCGGACTAACGGTAAGTAGAATTGATACACATTGTAGCTGCGGTGAGGTTTGTGTATAGAAGGTAGTGTTAGTATCCTCACTAATTAAAGACAATTACATTTAGTGGACGTTTAGACCCGCGGTCTTCGTCAGCACACAACGGTGTAATTAAAGGCTAGATAAAAGATATCGGCTTTAACTTTTTTCCCTTTTCCACTAAATACAAGTCTTTACGTAAAATGTGTCTATCTATAAAAGATGTGATTCGGTCATTTACTTTAATTAATAATAAATAAAGACTTAATTTCATGATCCTTACGGCACACAAAAACCTTAAAATCTGCTCATGATCTTCTAATTCGGACTTTGGCCGGTCGTCCCTAGCCAGATGATCTTCTAAATTAAGACTTTGGCCGGTCCACCATGGCCAGTCCGCAGATTGGCCGGCCAAAGACCGAAATTAAGCAAAGTTTCAGACTTTGACGGGTCAATGGGAGGCGATATTCGCCAATGCGCGCATTGGTGGACTTCGGGCTTAGACCGTAACATATGTGTGTGTGTGTGTGTGTGTTGCGGGTGTGTGTGGATGTATAAGACGTTCTCAAAAAGTATCAAATAGTTAAATAAAGTGATTTAATGTATTAACACCAATGCCCCCATCACCAGCCAACTCCTACGACTCACCACTATTATCCGCCTACATCTACAAATGTTGCTGCGGCATATTAAGTCAATGCTAAAAGAAACTTAATGTAGCGTGCCGTAACTTTGTTAATGTGTATAATCCTAGCGAGACAAAGGTGAAGTAGCCTATCATTAACAATAATGATGCAATTACACTAATGAGGACAGGTATTCGCGAGTCATACACTGACGTTACTTAAGCCTACGACCCCCCTCCCCCACTTACCCATCTAACCCCACACACAAATCTACCTCATACTTACAAATCTTACCTCCACACCTGAACCTACCTCACAGTTACCCATCTACCACCACACCACAACCTACCTCCCCCCACCCATCTACCCCCCCCCACCACACCATCTACCTGATACTTACCTATCTCCCACACACCTGAACCTACCCCACACCACCATCTACCTCCCACCCACCCATCTCCCCCACACCACAATCTACCCCCCTCCTCACTCATCTACCTTTCCAGACACCACAATCTACCTCACACCCACACATACCCCCCACACCCACCCATCTACCGACCTCCTGTCATCATTACGCGTACACGTGTATATATCTTCCCTCTCCTCACCCCCCCCCCCCCCCAGCCCCCCCCCCACCCTTTTAAACCAATTAATATGCCTTTGATCTAAGTAAAATCTTGACACGGCTGCTATAATATTCTAGGGGTCATCGATTTTAATCAATACGTGATCTTAGCTAATCGATCTAATTATCCCCACATAAGCAAATAATCAACGAGACTCTATTGATTTCTCATTACTGATCACTGGAGTGTGTACACAAATATTTCCTGTTGTCGCTAGGTCTACGTTTAGTTAAGAAAATATCTGAACATTGTGTTTGTCTACCAGTACGTGCAGATGGGCGATGTAAGACACCTCATGATTGGTGCTAATTTACAACTGAGTCTAATGGAGCTTGTATATCTATAGAAAGATAGCCAATGACAATTAATACAAAATAGTCTTGGCTGAAAAACGTCAGTGATTCAAATGGAGGTCATGATAAAGCAACATGGAATAGTTTTCGTGTGAGTCTAGTGTGGGTTGGTTATTAAATAAAATTATCTTTGTGACGCCATTCGTCCAATTACCAGTGTTTCTTTGTGGTACAGTTCCAACTCCCCTTCCCCGGGCGAAATAGAAAACTTTAAATTGAAAATGTATTCTTTAAACACACACTTTACCCATTGTTCGCTCCTCCCCCACCGGAAATTTTTCAAATGCTTCCACCCACCCACTCCCTCATT